ATCAGTTAGTATTTCATTCAATGCAAATGGAATCAACAATTAAGATAGAAACAAAAAGAAAACAAGCACTGAACTCTCCAAGCCAAAAATAAATTAAAAGAAACAAATGCAAGAAATGAAATTGAAAATGAGAACAACAATTAAAGATATAAAATCACACACCGAAAAAAAAATGGGCACGCAACGTCATGCACACGACGTGTATCACTCGTAACAGAAAATGTAGATGGAAAATGCAATGTACATGGAAAATGTAATGTACATGGAAAATGTAATGTACATGAAAAGTCGTGAGCGATGCGAAGTACCTGACACTAAAATCACAGATGAAAAATGTAACATGATACAATGTATCCTACTGCTAAGGCACTGGTACCACATGTCGAAAAAAGTACAAGAAACAGTAGTCTACAAGTCGTGTCGTAACTGTCGAGATATTGTACTCAATCTGCTGCAACCGACGGCACTCTACGAGGACCCTACTGGCACCAGAAGCATACTCTACGAAGACCCTACTACTACCAAAATCATACACACCAACAAGTAAAGCACGCACACTACCACTTAGTGTCTAACAATAGTAAGACAAGACGAGACGATAAAAAAAACTAGGATCGCACAACATGACGAAGTACAGTGCGAGTAGGGGAGAAGCGGAATGTTGGCCTCATCGGTTAACGACCCTTCTTCCCCTTCCCGCTCTGTCTCCTCGTACCCCCTTGAGAGCCGGATGTCGACCTCTTTCTCCCTCGTGCGGATGAAGAAGTCCGCGCAGCGGAGCGTGTAGATGCACACGTCGGTGGGGGTCCTGGGGGAGGTGGGGGCTCATCGTAGTCGTCGTCGTCGTCACCATCGGAACCGCTCTTGCTCTCCTCCTCTCCCTCCTCCTTGCCCTCATAGTCCTCGTCCTGCTCCCGCACAGCCGCATCCGTATCAGGATCCTCCTCCTCGATGGTGACAGAGTCTCCTCCCTTCCTCAATACAACAACCCTCGCACTAGCCTCTGCAACCGTCTGCTCACTGCGGGATCCACGAGGCATCCCCAACCCCTCCGCCCCTGAACTCTCTCCAAGTGCAGCGCCTCCCGCTGCAGGCACGGGGCGTGGATGAGGAGGCACTCCACGCTTGCGTGGAGTCTGCTCCTGCACGGCACGCGTCGCTGCTCTCAAAGCGTACTCCAAGCTCTCACTGGACACTCCTCTACCACGACCTCGCTGAGGCTCACAACCTGATGCTGGTACCTCCCTCGCCACGGTCGTCCTGGCGCCGCGGGTCCCAAGCCTGGCTGAAGGCGTGCAGTGTGCTTCGTGACACGGCGGGTGGAATCCAAATCTATGTCTATCCTCCCGAATAACGTCGTGTCACTGTCACACACGTCCCGCGGAACTGCTGTCATGTCACGAATCCTACATCTCCGAGGCGTGTGAGGGGATCGAGAGCCTCTGCCTGTGGGCGACAATGATGGATCACCTACAGGTGGTCTAGGAGGAGGGGGTGGCATGTCTCTTGTGCCTGGCGCTGTCTCCGTCACTCCTCCCGAAACCCCCTGAACATGCCCCGCGACACGTCCCCCGGTGGAGGTAGACCCAGACCACACGGGCGACGCATGAGCCCATGGAACCGAAGGGATCGCCTGCCACGCTGGATGCTCGAGCCTCTGGTCGAAGATCCGCCGGTCCAATCGAGTAACATCGCGCACAGCCTCTCTCGCCAACTCCTCTGCATCCAAAGGACGACGGACCTCCTGCGGAGCAAAGTGGCTAGGAAGACGTGGGGCCACAACCACCGGCTCGGACCCCAAATCTGTGATAACGGGCGGTGGCACACCATGCACTGCCATCTGAACCGCATGCGACTGTCGGCCCTGAGCCAAGTGCAGGCCTGATAACGGAACGATAAGACCCATCGCTGTCTCCTGGACCACGAGTCGTGCGTCTACAGCCCCCTCGTCTCGCCGTTGTCCTGCCTGCACAGCCTCATCCACCGCCTGTGGTCATCCCTCCACAGCAACGTCCGCTGCCTCTGCCCCACCCGGCAATGCCTCATCGACCGCCTCTGCTGCCACTCCCTCCACAACGTCCTCCCCCGCCATCACCCCACCCTGCACACAATCCCCCCTGTGTCTCGAGGCCTGGCATCCTCCAAGGCCCGTGCGAACGCCTGAGCACGCGGGTTACTCGATGCCAAAAGTCGAGCCCTCTCTCGCTCCATGATGTCGCGTGCTGCATCTGGAGACTCAGTTGTCGTCCTCTCCCTCGGAGTCTGCGTCAAAGTCTGTCCTGCCGACTCGTCCCTCGATGGAGCCCGATCCATCGATGTCGCCCCGCCGCAACTAGGTGGAAGGCCCATCGACAAACCAAAGTCTAAGTGGGTCCCCATCTCCGAATCCGAAATCCCATACCCTCTATGACCGGATCGAGCTCCTCTGTGAGGAACTGCTGCATGAGGCGCTCGTCATCCCCCCCACGCTGCAACTCCGCCTGTGCGAGTATCTCCTTCTTCACTGGTCATTCCACCCCCCCCTCCACTGCAGCTGCCGACGGTGCCTCCTCCTCCTCTACTGCTACTGCCTCCTCGACTCCATTGTTGTCGCTCCTCCAGCTGCTCCTCCTGCTGCTGCCACCTGCCCATCCACTGCTGCTGCTCCTCTTGCCGCCGGTGCCTCCTCCTCCAACACTGATGCTGCCAACTCCTCCAGCACTGCTGCTGCTGCTATCTCGTCCACCTCGGCTGCGATCGTCGCGTCGTCCACCACCGGTGGTGCCATCCCCTCCTCCACTGCTGCTGCCGATGGTGCCCCCTCCTCCTGCAATATCCCCGGGAAAGGTGATCATAACTTCAGCTGCCGGACTGCCCCACCTCTGTGGAGAAGTCCGCGTTGAGGCAAAGAGGACCCCAACTCCTCCGTGTCCGCAGTTGTCGTGGCCGACTGAAGTGGCGGGACGGGCGATGGTGGTGCAGGACTCGGAGCCGGAGGTGGCGGCATGGATGACTCCTACCTCGTCGGAGTGGGGGTCGTCACCCGCGCCTCTGTGCCGCCTGTGGAAGCGACCTCCCCCAATGGGCCCCAAAACTCCTCCCCTCCCCCCAGCATCTCCTCGTCCGCCCGGTCCGCTGCCCGTCGTGCAGTGTGTGCCCTTGCCTCCTCGGAGTCGGGATCGTCGTGCGTCTTGTCGATCTCGCGGGGCATGCGGAGCGCAGGGTCATCTGCCGCCTCGGGCACCGGCTCCTCGTCCGAGTCGTCCTCCCTGGGGTAGGGACAAAAAATGCAAGCACGTCTACCGAAAACGACATCAGCAGAGGGTGGTGCGGAGGCCCTGATGGGATCCCGGGTAATAAGCGCAACCTGACGAGCAATCTCCTCCCCCGTCATCCCCCTACACGTGCCCGTCCGCACAGGATCCACCTCGAGTCCTGACTGGCAATCCAGCATGCCCTCGTCCCGCTGCCATGGCAGCACAATACCGCATCCAACCCGCCGATACTCCATAAACCGCACATTTGTGGTGATCTCAACGAGTTGAACGACCTTCTCGAACGCCAACTGGTTGCGCTCCTTCGTGTGAATGCCCTTGTGGACTGCCCATCTCCTCTCCGCTGGAGAGGTGCAAGACCACATGTGCATCACCCGAAGAGCGCACCGCTGCAACTCTGGCGCGCCCGCCCCAGA